GGAAGACCCACACCAGCCATCTATGGGATTGACTGCTTGTTCTTTGAATCAGTAACTTTTTTTCCTCTCAAAGACAATGATGTCTTGAGACTTCCCCACTGCATTGAATAAATTATAGCTCTCCCCCCTCCTTTTTTTTGTTTTGTTTGGGGAACCAGGCCACCTGGAAGAATTGCTAGTTTGCCTCTTTCTCGCTTGCGTCAGCGGGATTAACTTTCTGTAATCTCCATGACTGAATTGGCGATTGTGCTGCTGTCCTTGCCCTCTGTTCAAACCAGCAGCTGGGCAGAATCTGAGGCTGATTCTTGAATGGGAAATCAACATGGATTGCAGGTTGTGCAGCATCAGATTGGGTCCTCCTGTCAGGGAACCACGTCTCTCAACAGGTTGATAGCTTCTTCTTAACATGTAGCACCCATCATGCTTCTGAAGCAGACACACACTTTTCTAAGCAGATAGTCACCAAGAGGTTATGGTTTTTATGGATTCTCTCATCCCATTCCTGCCTTTCTGTTCATGCCACCTGGCAGAATGGTTCTTCCCCAGGATGAATGAGATGTAGAACACTGTACAGTTTTTCCCAGTTAATTCTGAATCTTCTGCCACCACCATTCACTGGAGTGTAACATGCAACCGTTGCCAGCCTTTGGATTTCTACTTTTGTATACACTCACAACAACCAGAATGACATATATTCTTTGTTTCTGGCATACATTTTAGCCTTTTAATTCACAAGTACATTATATATTCAGTTCCTTACCTATATTCAACTCCATTTCACAAAATCAGACCACCGTCATTCAGATACAGTATATTACATCCTTCCCATTTCTCTTGGTAGCACAGACTTTCAGCGAATGTGTTTTCCCCCCTTCCATTTTATAATTTAAATTCCTGCTCTTTACCATTTACTTCTTTTACATTCCTGGTCACAATCTTGCATATCGCCAGAAGGGCCTGTGGATGTTGACTTCTGCCGCTCACCAGTCAGCTAAGAGGAGCGTGTGGTGTATTGACACCCATTCAGGATATAGGCTTTCTCTTAGCAGCAGTGTCCTTCATCAGGGTAGCCCACTCTTCAGGGATCTCAACATCATCTTTGCATCATGAGATCTGCTTGCCTGTGATCCTGTGTACATGGTAGCCTAAGGACAAAATTTATAGATGGCACAGATGAATACAGTTATGGCATGTGAGCAGTCAAAATGTTTTTTCCAGAGAAAAGTTGTTTGTTTGTTTATTGATTGGATTTGTTAAAGCCACCCAAGTCCAAAAAGACTGGGTAGCTTACAATATGTCCAATATATAAGTTAAAACACAACTAAAACCACATGACTGCCTGACTAAAACAGCAATCCCCAACATTCAATATAGACATGGCAGGGCTCCCACAGACACCCTAACCCAGCAAATTCTTGCTGAAATCTAAAATTTAACCATCTAATACCTTTGAAATATTAATTTGGGGATGAAATAAGATACTGACAATAGCAAGCTTTTGTGGTTTTGTGGCTCAGGGTGTTGCGTGAACCTGAAGGACCTGACCTTGGAAATGGGGAAGGAGTGGGTAAAGGGAGGAGTTTCAGAAGAGATTACTCAGTCCTGAGAAAGAAGAGAATGCGAGAAAGAAACCCAAAATACCACGCCTTGACTTTGTTTGGCCTGAGGTGGGATAGAGAGAAACTCTGAGAGGCTTTCAAGGTTGATATCAGCCCTTGTAGGTAGGTCAGGCCAAGAAACAGAGGCTGCAGGAATTGCTCTTTATTGCTGTAGGGTGGAATGACAGGATCTTGTAATACACCTGTTACAGCAGCTGGTCCAGTCTGACTATTGAACAAAAGCATAGCCAGGTTGGGTCTGGTGAGAACTTAGTTAGAAGACCACTAGAGAAATCCTGGCGCTGTGGGCTAGACTGGGAATTTGAAAACTCATTCCATCTCAAACAGAGGCAGTGGCAGAACACGTCTATATTGTTGCCTCAACCCTCCTACCATGAGCATGTCCCCAAATTTCCCAGGAATCAAGCTTGGTTTGAAGGAGGCTTGGCTCAACTGTCACTGGCATCTCCAAAAAAGGAGATGTGCTTGCCTCCTACTCGAAGTCAGAGGAAGCCCTCCTGGGGAAAGCACAGGCGGGTCCTGGTAATCCCTGCAATTCGGCCTAGAGAAGGCAAAGGGAGTCCCACAGCTCTCCTCCCCCAGCAATGGCCACGTTGACAAAACACCTGGGCTGGCCATTGTCAATCTCTGGCCCAGGCAGATCTCTGGCCCAGGCAATTTTGATCATATGCTTGAGTCACTTTTCTGGTAATTCATATGTCCCCAGTTTTTCTTTTTTTTAGTAGATAGATATAATTTTTATCAAAGAAGTTTTTCCATAGAGTAAGAACAATACAAATTTTAAGTTAAAAATAAGAGAAATAGAGAAAAGTAATAGAAAAGTGAAAAAGAAACAAAGAAAAAGAGATAGAAAAGAAGGAAAAAGGAAAAAAAAGAAAAAAAAATAAAGAAGTGGCTTCCAGTCTTCTTAACTGCAGTTAGAAGTACATTTATATTTCTCTTTCTCTCTCTCTCTCTCTCTCTCTCTCTCTCTCTCTCTCTCTCTCTCTCTCTCT